TTTATACACAACACGGTATGGAAAGTGTTAGCATATTGAATGTAATGCAAATCAGCTAGAGATGATTTAAAGTATATAGGAGATTATGAACAAGCAGATGTAAACAAAATGTCATTTTATAGAGGACTTGAGCATCAGTAGGGTTTGGTATCTATGGGTGTCCTGAAACTCCCCCTCCAGACGCTGAGAAAGAACTACTCCATATTTTTCTGAGACCAAGGTTCTCAATCAATGGTCTTTGGTATGGGCTCTTCAGGTATGAGCACACACACCATCCATGAACCTGGACTTCAGCTGCACTTCAGGGCCAGCGTTCTTGTGATAGAACCTTCACTCTGGATCCCAGTTTAGCCACCTCAAACAAATCATAAAGCATGCCAGTCTTAGAAGGGTCTCTCGGGACTCTGAGGCCTGAGAAGGGTTGAACGTTACAGGTGTGAACCGTTAGCCTCAGCCCCAGGCCTTGCCATGGTCAGCTGGGCTCTGAAGAAGTTGCTATTCTCATTTTTGCAAGGGATGGGGATAGTGAGTTCCCCCAGGCCACCTGACAGATGCAGCAGACCTAGATGAGAACACACCATGGGGCTTGGCACACGGGTGCTCTAGAAATACCACGGAAGAGCAAAGGTGAGCATGGAAATTACCAGGACTCCCAAGTCCCAGTTGGACACTCGGCCCTTTCTATGTCTTGAGCTTTTCCACTGTCAGACAGCTCAGCCCTCTCCAAGATGGATTAACTGTTCTCAGGAGGAGCTCATGGTACCCATGGCCCCCAGTCTTCTTGCTAGGTGCCGCTGAGAGGATCTGAGCATACCTGGCTGCCTTTGTTTTTGAATTCAGCCTTCACTCCAGAGCCGGAAACCTACCTCATTCCAAGAGGAGGAAAACAACAGCATTTATCTTGGTATTTTTGAAGGGTTTCAAAACCAATCATCAAGAAAGCATACAAACCCTGCCAAGATGTGTTAACCGTTCTTTCATTCCTCTCCGTAGCTCCCCCACTCCCTCACCTCCCAAAGAACTGGAGGAAACAAAAGCCTGGCTCTGCAGTTTAGGCGATCTGCTACTTCATTAAGGAAGAATAAACGGGCTCCCCTGGGCTCAGAGGCTGCGGCCACATGGAATATCTGATCTCCGTGGCAAGGCTGACTGTAGCTGAGAGAGACACAGAAGATTTCTGGCAGCCTTTGACCAAGGTCACTCTGAAGATTCAGTGACAAATGAGTACCAGACCTCCTGGACCAGGCTGGTCCTTTCTGACTGGGTTGTTCCATGTCACCTTTCTCTAGCAGCGAGCGACCAGCCGATAGGCAATTACATGTGCTAATGCCACAGACACTTCTGCACCAATGCCACACTCCTGCATTTGTTAGAACACATGACCCTCACCCCTTCCCGCTTGTTCTCCTTTAAGACAGGGGAGCCCAGCTCTGACTCAGAACCAGAGGTCCCGAGTCCATCTGACAAGTTCTAAGTTGAATGGCTGGCAGGACAGATCAGCCCTCGTTCAAACGGCTGTGTCTTCAGGTGCATTCTGGAACCCCTCCGAACCCCAGCTTTCTTCTCTGTAAAATGGGACAATGAGTGTGCTTTGCACAGTTGTTGGGGATGGCTACATACACGCTGCAGAGACAATTAGTATAAGATGCAGCATAGGTCTCTGGTGTCTTTGCAGGATGTCAGAATGAAAACATTTTTCTCTGATCCTGCTACCTGCATGAGGAGATGGTAATTCCTGCTTCACAGCATATTAAATGATGAAAAGAAATGGGATTCTACAGAAAAATAGAGACTCTTTTTTATGTATTAATTTTCCCCTAGTTTTTGTAAGTTTACAGCATTTTGTAAATTTTACTTTCTGTCTGTCTATCTATACATGCTAAAGACTGAATCCAGAGCCTTGTTTAGGATAGGCAGGTGCTCACCAATGAGCCACATTTTACACTTATTATTTGGGGAAATCAATGGAATCCTATGCAGTTATCCATCAGTACTCATAGGAGATTGAACCCAGGATCTCCTATAAATAACAAAATCCAAGCTGGGTGGTGGTGGTGCACACCTTTAATCCCAGCACTCAGGAGGCAGATCTCTGCGATTCGAGGTCAGCCTGGTCTACAAGAGCTAGTTCCAGGACAGGCTCCAAAGCTACAGAGAAACCCTGTCTTGAAAAACCAAACCAAACCAAATCAAACCAAACCAAAAAAAAAAAAACCCTAAAAAACAAAAAATAAAGTTCAGAGATGCTGATATCCCTTCTACAAAACAGAACAATATTTGTATAGAGCCTGCATATCGTTTATATACACATTACGTTCTCTGTGGATTATTTATAATACCTGCTATAATGTAGATGTTATATAAAAAGCAATTATGCTCTATTATTTAGGGGAGAGTGACAAAATTGTCTGTACAGGTTTAGTATGAATTCTAATGTGGTCACAAACCAAAGAGATGCCAACATGGACTCTTGGTGTGATTTTCAGAACGACACACGTGGTCATCAGACCTCGCCTTGTGCTGAGTGAAGGGGACAGGGAAGAAGGCCTCTCTGGAGGCTCACATCCAGGCTGTAAAGCTCTGAGAAATAACAGAGCCCCAGAAGAGGGTCCTAGCATCCTCTCATAGACTGGGCAAGGTCTAGGTTGGGAGGGGGCAGGTGGAAATGACATAGCTGGACACAGCTGTCTTCTGACGTCATGGGTGATGCGCCCCAGCATCCCCTATAGGGGATCATTGACTACTCATGTCTTGTATATGAAATGACATAGTCTTTACAGAAAACCTACCCAAATCCTCACACATTGTTAGGGGTTCTGTTGCTGAGAAGAGACACCATGGTTGGCTGCAGCTCTTACTGCAAACAGTGATGCCTGTGGGTGCCTGTGTTTTCTGCTCAGCTCCCGAGTCTTTCACTTAATACCTGTGTGATACTGGGAATTACCCAGTTCCAGGCACGGTGATTTTCTCCTCTGTTTTTTAAGGCACTTGAACATGTTAAAGGCCATCCAAAATTACTAATCAGTACGGTGCGGGGGGGGGGGGTTCCCTCAGTGTTTCAGGGGTTCAGGAGACTTGGGGACATGAGCTAGAGTGACTTCTACTTTGTGAACGCTGTAGCCATGTTTCACATTTATGACCTTGCCCTGTGTTTACACCAACCTGGGGAGGGGGCTGTCATTACTGACTCCATGTTACTCTTGGGTAAATGAAGGTTCAAAGAGGTTAATTAACTAGTGGTGCAATTAATTAGCCATAGCAGAGGCATCTGGACCCAAGCCACGGGACCCTGGGGCCCAGGTTTGTAACTTTTGGGAGTCTCCCGAGAGCATGACTCTCAGTAAGAAACCAGGAAACACCTTACTTTTCTGGTCACCAATGCAAGCTAGAGCTTACGGCAACAAAGAGAGCGGGAGCATAGGACATCACAATCTGGGGATGGTGAGCAGAAGGGGTGGGAATGAGTCTGGTAGCCAGAGGCTGGGCTTCTTTGTCTAAAGCCTTCCCTGGCACCACTTCTGTGCCACAGTGGCTGCCTAGGCTACAGGAGTGGACAGTCATGTTAATCTCATTAGGTCGCTGAAGGGACTAAGGAAGCAGGTTGCTGGTACAAGGGTCCTGTTTCTGGCTACAGCCAGCACATAGTAGATGCTCACACAGTCTCTCCCTGGACATGCTGTTATTCTAGCGACACGGTATGAAGCATGGGCCCCAAAGGCTCAGGTTTCTGACTCAAGAAACCTCAAGGCAGAAACATGCAGTGGCTTGAACTCAGCCCACGGACTAGGCTGCTGGAATTTACATCCTAATGGCTTACCAGGTCAGTTACCCCAGACATGCTGCCTAGTCTACCAGTACCTCAGCTTCCTTATCTGCGAAGTGGGCATAATGGCCACATGCTTCACAGGGCTTGGGGAACACTGCATGGGTACTAATCTATACCAAGCATTTAAAGTCGGGGCTCAGCTTATGGTTAGCGTTGGACACACACTAGCGGTTTTGACTCTGATCAACCCTTTGTGTACTTGGGCTGAGAAGTCATTCTGCGTCTTCATGAGCCAAGGTTTATATGACAGATCCGCAACAACCTTGTGGGCCCCTCCCTCCATTCCCATCAAATCCAGCTAGGACAGAAATCCCTGCCGCTTGGGGTGGAGTACTCCCAAGGGAGGACAGTCTGACATCAGGAGTTGGGAGGAGATCTGAAAATGATACGGTCACCCAGAAAACATTTGAGGGAGTCGGGAAAGTGTGTGTTCTCGAGTTATTTGTTTTTTGGGTCGTTTGCATTTGGATCTGGGCAGGACTCATCTGAAGGAGCTGGCTGATGTATTTGCATTGTTTTTAGATTAAAAAAACAAAAAACAAAAAACAAAAAACCAAACAAGGCCCCTGCAGGAGAGCCCTGGCCAGTTCATGAGTAATTCCCACCTTGCTGGAGGGGAGCCCTGGGGTATAAATCTGAAGCAGTCAAGGAGGCTCATGTCATCCTCAAACTGGAGGGAAGACAGAGGAGGGTGCGCTCCCAGACAGAGATTTTACTCTGCCAAGATTGGTCAGGAAAGTAAGGACGCCAATATTTCACAGAGGGGGACAGAGGGGTAAAGGAAGAGGAACACAAATGGAAGGGTTACCAACAGAGACTAGTCAGAAAGAACAAGACGCTCCGCATCCTGTAATCCACAGGGACCCATACTCCAAAGGATCTGCTAGGAGTTCAGCCGCCACCGCCACTCCCCCTTCCCGTTTGCCATTTCAACCAGCAGCGCGTCAGCAGCAACAGTAACGGTGATACTCGGTGGCAGCAAGGGGGCGGGGGAGTGTAGTGCCTGTATGCCTTGATGGCTGAGATTCACAAGCAAAGCTTGAGACTCTCCGCTCCTTCCCCCAAAGATATCCCCAGGAACCAATCTCACAGTCCCCGCTCCCAGGGTCCCTGCGACTCCCCGTCCCCCGCCCCCCCGCCTGTCGTCCCCCACCCACTCTCCCCCTCCACCTACTTGAGCTGGCGCGGCTCGCAGTCCACGCCTGGTAACAGCAGCCGGGCCGCTTGGCGGACATCGTCGCTGTCCATAGAAAAGCTGCGGCGGTGGCCGGCATGCGCCACCGCCACTCGGATCCACTCCATCAGAGGGGGCAGCACGAGGAAGGGCCTGCGCAGGAGAAGGGAGGCGGGGATGTGTTAGGACCGCCAGGGAATCAGGGCTGCTCAGACCCAGCCCGACTCACGGAGACCCTTATCCCACCCTTATCCTGACTTCCACCCTCACACCCATCCCGTTTCCCTGGAGACCCTGCCTGGAAATTCCTGAGTGCGAGAGCCTTTGGAGACATCCTGACCCCACTGGTGACCCTGGAGCAGACTCTTTGGACTCTCTGGGCCTTGGTTTCCTCATCTGTGAAAGGGGGCTACCGAGGCCACCAAAGGATGCAGTGTTACTCGGCTGTGAGTGCTGTCCCTTCCAGAGATGTGCACGTGGAGACAGATGAGTCACTTCAAGCTCTAGCGCAGGGTCTGGGAGCCAGAGGAAGCCAATGGACACCTGGTATTACTTCATACTGCCAGCCCAATCCAAGGCCCTCTCGGCCCTCTCCCTTCCCATCCCTGCCAGGCTTGTTGACTTCCTTCTGGCCTCAGTTCTGTGCTAGCACCGGGCTATGGAAAGGCACAGAGCATCTGCCAAAGCCGGATGGGAGTCAGACACAGTTCACCTTCACAAGCAAGACTGCTGGGGCCCAGGAACAGCCAGCAAGGCTGGACTCGGGGACATTGCACACATCCCAGACACCGTGGGTGCCAATGGGTGCACTGTGTGCCATGGGGACCCAGTTGTGGCAAGTGTAGCTTTCTAAGTGGATTTGAGCCTGCCTTCCGTTTCATCCATGGACTATATAGTCGATTTTCACATTTGTATCCTGGAGTGTGGGAAAATACTTGCGTCCCCTTTCAGAATTTAGTTGGGATAGTATGAGGCTGGGCCTTGGTAATTTTTAAAACCTCCCATGTGTTTTTAATGTGTACCCCAGCTCCCTGGATGGCTTGTTAAAATGCAGATTGCTGCTCCCACCTGCAGCAGTTTTGATTTGCTGAATTAGGAGAGGAACCTGGGAAATGGCATTTTCAATCAGTTCCTGCTACTAAGGTGGCTGGCCTAGGAATGTCACTCAAAGAACTGCTCTGAGTCACTGAAGGAGGGATTGAGAATGGCCTGGCTGGGGAGGGTACCAAGAGGCAGGCTCCTTGGCCTGTCCCCAGATAATAAGTGCAGAGAGCTTGTGGACACAGTCTGAGGCATGGGAGAGATGACCCAGCAGGTAAAGTCACTTGCTGCCAAACTTGATGACAAGAGCTTCATCCCGAGGACTCTCCCACATGGTGGAAGCAGAGGACCCAGTCCTGAAAGTTGTCCTCTGGCCTCTACATGACGCACACCGTGGCATTGTGCACCCTCATAAATAAATGCAATTAATTTAAAAAATAAACATAAATTGAATAAGCACTTCCCAGGCTTCTCATTTTAAGTGGACCATACTTTGAGAATGGTATCATGTGGACCTATAGATTTCCTGCCTCTTGGCAAGGCATGGAGGCCACCAAAGCAAGAGTGCCTGGGGTGTCAGATTTAAGGAAGCAGGATCCTACAGCCACAGGAATGCAAAAAGCGTTTACAAGGCATCTGCTCCCTCTCACAGTACTGATGTCACGAGCTTCCCACCAGGCTTTGGTGCCAGATCCCAGTTTTCCTAGAGTCAGACTACTGACATGATGTTAAAAATTACGACTCAATCTTTTACTCTCATCTCGGTTAACCATGATCATGACATGTTCTAAATGTTTACTGATGTTAAGGAACCTTCCCGGCCCGGGATCCGAAGATTTTCAGAACTAAGAGTCAGACCTAAGTTGTTTGTTTACACAGTCTCTCTGCTGCTATCCCATATGATCTCACCGTTCTCTCGTTCTGCTTCCCAGCATGCACTCTGTTACCCAGAATGCACCCGCTACTCCAGGGGTGCTGATCTGGTCTTGGGTCTTTGAAGGCATGTCATGTTCATTTTCTACCACGCAGCTCAGGCCTCTGTGCGTAAGGTCCCCATCTCTTCAGAAGTCTGCATCCTATTTAACCTTTGCCACAGTTCAAGTCCTGCCCTCCCTAAACACTTGTCCTGATAATTGTGCCACACACACCACCGCCATGTGGCTCCCACTTGGAAGGACTTTACTCCTTCCACAGATGCCTCCTTAGCATGTTAATTCCATCCGTGCAGAGACCTGAGCTGTTCAATTCACTGCTCCTACGTCTGCTGCAGGACAGTGTCTAGCAGGCTGGAAGCCCTCAGTGTCTGTTCATGAAACTGAACTCATGAAACATGAAGACTCACCAATTTCTTACTGACTGATACTAAGAAAATCAAGTTTCTGGTCCTGGGACCCGGAGGTCAGACTCTCAGGGAATTTCTGTCTGCATCCACCTACTACTTAACCTGTTTCTCTCATTCTCCCCATCTCTCCATCACCTAAACTGAATCAGGCACTCAATAAACACACCGACTTGAAATCGAATTGGATCCCACTGTCTCCAGAGGAAGCGGGGTTTATTTCAATCCCTGTGTCTCAGTCACTGCTGGAAACCAGTCCCAAGTGCTCAGAGAACTCCCCCAGGTGTTCTCAGGCTTCTCAGAGGTGAACCCCCTCCTGTCTTTGCTCACTGGTCCCCAAGCCTGGTCCCTCGTGGATGGAGTCTCCATTATAAATCTATTCTGGTGCGGCTGCCTTTCACGCTGGAGGCTGGAGCATAGAGTGTGCCTGCTGAATACCAAAGAGGGGCCCTGCCACTTCCAAGTTGCTTCTCTACCAAGCCAGCCGACCAGCCCAGAATAAAAATTCTCAGACCCAGAAGTTCAGCCCTCCTCTGGAATTTCCTATGTTCCTATTCTTTCAACACCACCTCCTCCTGTCATCCCACACCAGCAGTTTATAAGCTCTTGAATTCCTTGCCAGCAACTCATCTAAAAAACCTTATCTTGTCTGCTCAAAGGGGACAAAGTCATATTATTTGAGATGCTTTCTTTGAAAGAGATAGTGATGGGAAGGAAATTTAGGGTTTTGAGTCAAGTGGTGTAGAGAATGCTCAGGAAAAATTATGGCATCTCTCTCTCTCTCTCTCTCTCTCTCTCTCTCTCTCTCTCTCTGTGTGTGTGTGTGTGTGTGTGTGTGCACATGTGGAGGCCAAAGAAAACCACTGGTGGTGCTTCCCAGAGGTCATCCACTCACTTTTTTTTTTTTTGTTGTTGTTGTTGTTTTGTTTTTTGAGGCAAAGTCTGTTACTGGGATCTGGGCCTCTCTCTGATCCAGGTAGGCTAGTATTACAAGCATGCACCATTATGCCTGGATCTTTGTTTATTTATTTATTTTCTTAAAATCCTGGGGCACTGAATTCAGGTGTCCATGCTTGTAAAGAAAATGCTTAACTCCAGCTATCACCCAGCCCTCTTCCTGCACATTTTAAAGAGGATCGTGATTCACTGGGGCCCCTTGCTTTATTTAAAGGCAATCAGTTAAAACCAAGAGCCCGTGGAGGAAATGGTGACATCTTCAGAGGCTCCCGAGATTCATGTCAATGCGGATGGGGTGGGAGCAATAGAGCAGAGTTGGGTTTTGGACATCTGTATTCTCAGCCTGCTTTCCCGGCTGTTCTGGAACACAGCAAAGTCATGAACTAAGCATCCTGGATGAACAGGGGAGGGGGTGGTTCACTCAAACAGTGCTGTGGTCCTCATTGTAGCTTCAGGCAATGTACATGGAGTGGGGCAAAGACTCTGAAAGGGAAGAGAAAGCCTGGATGGGCTTCTGCAGGCTCAAGCCAGCAGGTCAGCTCAGGAAAGTCATCATAGCCAAGATCTAGGGAGGATGACATGCACAGATGCAGCCCCTCCCTGAAACCATGAAGAGATCTGTTGACAACGTGAAGGCCAGGGACTGTGGTTGGTGATCCGTCAGCACCAAATTCCAGTGCTGGGTCTGTCATGAACTCACCTGTGACTTTGGCTCTGGCTAATGCCATTTTAGCCCTTAGTATCATTTGGAAAGTGGGGTGGGTTCAGGTGAGACTGTTTAATTTGTGGGCTGGCAGCCACCTCTGTGAATGGCCAGATAGTAAGTGTGTTAGGCTTCATGGGCCATATGGTCTCTGATGCAGCTAATTATCTCGTTCTAATAATCTCTGCCCCCATAGTGAGACAGCATCTACAAAACCAAATGAATGCAGTTAGCTATTTCAATAAAACTTTTTTTGATATCTGGTCATTGTTGGCCAACACTGGTCTGTTTAGTTCTTTTTGATTCTAAAGGTCATTGATTCTTTTGGAAGAGTGAGTTGCCTGGGAACTGAGAAAGGGTCAGATCTATGGTCAGGGGAAGATGTAGAGAAGTCCATTAAGGTGTTAGTGACATGGACAGGATGCTTAAAATATTGGAAGATGGGGATTCTCCCATATAGAATCACACTCTGGCATTATCACACAGGGTCTGAGTTTGGATATCTGGACTCCAGAATACTAAGGGTGTAATTCTGAGGGAGTTTTTGCATATGTATGTAGGAGTAATGTGTGCATATGTGTGTGTGTGTGTGTGTGTGTGTGTGTGTGTGTGTGTGTGTGTGTAGAGTAGTGCAGATGCGTGTGAAGGTGAAGTCCCAAGGTTGGCTTCAGGCATCTTCCTTGTTTGCTTCCACCTTATATTTTGAGGCAAGGTCTCTTGTTGAACCTGGAGCTCTCCAGTCTGCTCTAAAAATTCCCTGCTCACCTTTCACACATTAGAATTACAGGCAGATCATGCCCACCCAGATATTCATTCATTCTATCTATCTATCTATCTATCTATCTATCTATCTATCTATCTATCTATCTATCAGACAGGATGTTATAGTTTAGCCCAGGCTGACCTGGAATCTAGACCAGGCTAGCTCCAAACTTACAGAGCTCCCATCTGCCTCTGCCTCTTGAGCACTGGCATTAAAGGCATGTGCCCCCCACATCTGGCTTCCTATTGGTTCTTTAAGTAGGTATTCTGGGGAATCTGATCTCTGATCCTGAGAATTATATAGCAAGCACTTTATCTGCTCATTCACCTCTCTAGAGTTCCATTGTGTTG